GGGGGGGGGGGGGGGGGTGTGTGGGGTGTGTGTAGTGGGCGGGGCTTGTCCCCCAGGTGGGATGGATCACGGAGAATGGGATATGGTAGGACTTGACTCCTCCGTGGAGTATGGGAGTGATGGAGCCGTTCCCCCTCGTGGGGGGAGGTATAGGGCACGCCCGTTCCCCTTGGGGGAGTGGGGATGGTGGCACCCCTCTCCCCCCCTCTGCCCTCCTCCAGCCTTCTCCTGTACCCTCCCCCGCCGTAGGGTGTCGCGCCTGGTGTCCGAGAAGCGCGAGTTAGAGGCCCAGCTGGACCGATCCCGAGAAGAGGCGCTGGCCGGGCGGGCGGCGCGCCAGGAGGCCGAGGCGCTGCGCGGGCTGGTGCGGGGCCTGGAGCTGGAGCTGCGGCAGGAGCGCGGCCTCGGACACAGGACGCTGGGCCGCCGCGGCCAAGACTGTCGCCGCCTGACCAAGGAGGTGAGGGGGCGGAGCGGGGCGGCCGGTGGGAGCCGCCCGCGGGGCGCGGACCTCGGCCTGTCTGAACGCTTTTGCCCTTTCCCGCCGCGCAGCTAGAGGAGGTGAAGGCGTCGGAGCGCAGCCTGCGAGCCCGGCTGAAGACGCTCAACAGCGAGTTAGCCGCGTACAGAAGGGGGTAAGGGGTGTGGCCAGGGCTGGGCGGGGCCTTGGAGGGTCTAGGAGCCGGTGGGCGGGGCCTGGGGGGCTCTAGGCCTGGTAGGATAAGGGTGGGCGGAGCCTGGGGGTGGGCGGTTCCGGACGGGAAGGAGGGGTCTAGTGAGCGCACGTGGTACAGGGAGGGGTTCCGAATACCAGTGGGAGGTGGTGGGCGGGGCCTGTGGAGAATTAGGCCGGGACTGGGAAAGGGGCGGGGCCTGCAGGATAAAGGCTATGTCTGCGGGAGTTTATTGGGGTGGGTGGCGAAAACTTGGGAGAGGCTTCCAGGGCGTTGTGGGAGAAGGGGTGTTAGGATATAGGGAAGTGGTAGACGGGGCTTTGGTGGGGGTGTCTGTGTTCTTGGAAGGAGCAGAGCATGGGGAGGGTATTCGTGGGCGGGAAGTTTTAGGAGTTGATGGGGGATGGGCCTGAGGGTTCAGAGAAGGTGCGTCCGGGACAAAGATTGGGATCCTGGGCGGCGGGAAGCTGACCACAGGTCCTGTGCTCTCAGGAGACGGACTCCGCCCGTGGTGCCGCCCCCGGCCCGGGAAGACCGGACTTCGTTGTCCCGGGAGCGCTCCACGTCTCGTGGCCGGGGTGCCGCCCGTTCCTCATCCCGGGAGAGCGGTCGCGGGGCCCGGGGTCGCGGCCGGCCCGCCCGCCCCTCGCCCTCACCCACAGGTGTGCCGGCCCGGTCCTTCCCGGCCTTGGGGGTGGGACGAACTCGCGCTGTGCAGGCTCGGGGTTGCCCCCCCCCCCCCGCCTCCCACTGTCTCAGGTGGTCGCGCGCCGCGATTCGACCCCACGGCCTTTGTGAAGGCCAAGGAGAAGAAGCAGAGAGAGATCAGGATGAAGTTAGTGCCATTTTTTTTGGTCCCTGCCGGGTACTTGGCGGGTGCCTCCCATGTCGCCATCTCTTGCTACCTGGTCCATTTCTCACCTGACTGCACTGCTCCCAGACCCCTCACTTGCGCTGCTTGCTTTGTGCCAACCCCACCTGGTCTGTGTTCCCGTGTGCTTTTCCCTCCTAGGCCTCGAGACCTCAGGTGGGTCCCCTGGCTGTGACTCCTGGGGCGTGGCGACGCCCTGCCCTTAGTAGGGCGCTCAGGGGGCATTTCCTTTCCCGTTTTCCAGGCAGCAGCAGCGGAACCGACTGGGCAGTGGGGGAAGCGGTGATGGGCCGTCCACCGCATGGTCTCGCCAGGCCCGGCCTCCCGCCGCCGTGACTGGCCGAGGGGACGCAGCTAACCGCTCTCGGAACCGCAGCTCCTCGGGTAACTGGCCTGGAGCCGGGCGGCGGGCGGCGGGCGGGCGGAGCGGGCCTGGCGAGCCAGAGGCCCACACCCTCGGTCTCCCTCTAGTGGACAGTTTCCGCAGCCGCTGCTCGTCTGCCAGCTCCTGCAGCGAGTTTGAGGATTTCTCTGAGTCGCTCTCCAGAGGGTAAAACTTGGAATGGGGGAAGGACCACCTCCAAACAGTTCTGGGGAGACGGGAAACTGGATAATGGGGAATAGAAGCCATGATGGTGGGGTCCCCACTTCTCCATTGGCCTGTTTTTTTTTTTTTAAAGAGTTATTGGGGTTTGACTTCAGGGCCTCAAGCTTGCTAGGCAGGCGCTCTAACACTTGAGCCACATCTTCAGCTCCCCCACTGGCCCTTGATTATGCTCTTTTCTTAGCCTTCGCTGCCGCGGCCGTGGGAAGGCACTCAGTCCCACACCCTGGAGTGGGTCCAATATGGTGAGTGTGTTTCCTAGACTTTGGAGGAAGGGGTAGCATTAAGCCAATGGAAGCCACCTTCTGGAAACCCGGTTGCAGAGGTTTCTCTGGAAACAGGCTGTTTTGGGACAGTGGGATTGAAGGGGAACAGTGGGAGATACAGGATGCTCTTTAAGGTTTGGCCTCAGATTGCCAGGACTTCAAACCTAGTCCTTCCACCCCTGTGTGACTGGAAGTACTTATTCTGTACCAGTTGAGGGGTTGATAGCAGTGTTCCCTTAGAGGGTTCTTGTGGTGACACAAGGATGTTATTTTGATAAAATGTGTATCAGTAGGTGTCAGCCCTTATTTTCCCTGAGGTCCCTGGGTTCAGAAGTTCCATTGAGATTTGGGGGCAGGGACAGAGAGCAGGCACCTGACCCCCTTTTTCTGCCTCTTCCATCACCAGAAGTCCACCCCTCGGGAACGCAGCAATCATCAAAGACGCCTGGCCAACTCAGGCGGCTGGGTCCCCATCAAAGGTGAGCCTGGGACCCCACATCTACCCCTTCCCAGTCACCCCAAACCCTCTGGGATGATGAGGGTAGCACATCCGCCTGGGGCTCCCTGTGGCTTCAGGCCCTTCATAGCCGCCTACACCCATGCCTGCTCTCACAGAGTACAGCTCCGACCACCAAGCGGCTGACATGGCCGAAATAGACGCCCGCCTGAAGGCCTTGCAGGAATACATGAACCGACTGGACACGCGGTCATGACCATGGAGAGGTGGTTCTGCCCCTCACCCCACCCTCCAGTGGGTTATGGTATGGGACAGGGCCGGGGTCCTTCCAACCTCCCCAAGCCCTGCCTCTCCAGGTGCTCCTGGGATCTCAGGCCTGTGAGGCCCTGACCCTGCCCTCTTCCACGCAGTGCATGCTGGGAGGGAGGGTATGTGCATTTGTAAATAAATATGTTTGTCCTTGGGACCCCTTAGCTTATGACTGCAGGGTGGGGGTACAGTGGAGAGAAATGAGGAGGATGGGGCATATAATTGGGGCCTGGGGGTGTTTTGGCATCTGTGATGGGGGTTTAGGCTCAGGAAAACCCTGCGTTACAAGGGGAGCCCTTGGGGTGGCAGTGACAGCCCGTTTCCCAAGGAGTCCAAGCAGAGATTCTGCAGGATGGCTTTGGCTGTGTGGTGGGGAAGGGATTCTTGCAGTATGGTCCCTGCCTGGGAGGAACCCTGAGCTGCTGTTGGTGACATCTGAGCCTGCTGTGTGCTGATTCCTGGGCTCTGACCTGAGACCTCTGGGTTCTGAGCTGTGATGTTGCTGCCGAGCTGGGATCTCCGGGGTCTTGGTTCAGGGTCGGGGCCTCTGGGTTCTGAGCAGCAGTGAGGACAGAGCTTTGGGAGGATGGGGGCTGGCTGGGGTCTTGTGGGAGGGAGAAGGAGGGGGCATGTGGCCAGACATTCTCAGGAACACAGTTGGAATTGCATCTTTATTGGAGGAGGTGACAGCAGGTTGGAGGGGGCAGTGAGGTTTCTGGCCATGGTGGGGACAGCACAGGAGGACAAACAATGCCTTATGCTCTGTAGTGTGGTAGAAGCTGGATGAGTCTGTAGAGCTGGTCACCAGGAGACAGTGTCTGCTGCACGTCCCGATGTCCTTTGATCTCGTAGTCAGGTCTCAGGAATCTGTTAGTCACCCCACACTCCAGCAGATTCTGGAGTGCTCGAATGGCCCTTTGTGGGGGCACCCGCTCTGCAGGGGCAGGGGCAGGAGTTAGGTTGGGGCCTCCTTAGGCAGAGGCAAAGGGAGGTGGTGGGTAAACTGGGCCTTCCAAGTTGGTCTTAGCTGCTTGGTGCCTCAGTTTCCTCATCCATGAAAGGGGACAGTAATGGCACCTACCCACAGGGCTGTGCAAGGGTAAAATGGTTACTTATATAAAGCCCACAGAGTGGTGCCTGGCACAGAGGAAGCCCTCAGCGAGTGTCACCTGTTGTGACGATTATAGCTTGTGTCTCCTCTGTGCCCTGACCTTGGTGTCCTGCCTATGCCGACAGCCAGCCTCTGTTAAGCCCTTTCGGGGTGCCATGGTCCGGCCTAAGGAGTTTTGTATAAATCACTTCCAAAGAGGAAGTGGGGCACAGGACATGCCTTCCTTTACACCAGCTTGTAGGAGACAGAACTTCTCAACCACCACCACCCTGCCACACACCCCAGCCCATGCCAGCCTCCTGTAGTCACTCACCCATGTAGTTGCCCATGAAGGTGACACCAATAGATATGGGGTTCCAGGTGGGACCTGTGTGGGCTCCCTTGATGTTCCAGCCCCGGCCCTCGTACACCAGCCCATCTTCTCCAATCAGGAAGCTGTGTGGGAGGATAGGGGCTCAATGAGTGAAGGAGGGCTTCCTGGAAGAGGAGGCTTCCTCCCCCTCTCTCCACCCCCATAGCACTTGTAATGTCCTCAGCACCTTCCTTGTCATCACCTCATTTTCCTTAGTAACAGTGACTGGTCATGTATAAATTTTCCCCCACACAGCTCTGTGTGTAGCTTTTTTCATCTTCATAGCATCTGGGTGAGCCACTATCACCTCCATGTTACATAGAATCAGAGAGGTGGAGTCACCTGTCCAAGGTCACACAGCAGTTGGGCAGAGCTTGGGTTTTCACCCATCTCCAGGACTCCCACCTCTGTGGTCTTACTCCTTGCTTTCTCTTGCCTCCTTGGAATGTTGATTGAATTTGCTTGGCTGCAACAACCCTCTAGGTACGTATTGCTGTCTTCCCCATGCTAAGCCGAGGAACAGACTTAGAAAGCCACGTGATTCACACAAGATCATGACCCCAGAGACCCCTGTCCCTCAGGGTCCATGCTAGTGATAGGATTGGGGTCAAGGGTTGGGGTTACATCTGTCTCTCTTGGGGGTTTCCCATCCTGGCCGCAGATCCATCAAATTCACTCATTCAGCACGTCTTGGCTGAGTGTGCCTGAATGGACACCCTGGAATTAACTAGAAAGTCAGCTCCTTGGAGCTGCAGTTGCCTCAGGCTCAGCCCTGGGCTCCCACCCAGAATGCTGGACTTCCCAAATCCCAGGCCTGGGTCTGCCACTTGGGAGGCTAGCTCACAGGATCTGCCCCCAAGGAGACTGGCAATAACCTAGCAATGCTGGCCACCAGGACTGGGTGGTGATGTTCTTGCCGCACTCGGCACTTGGCCCACAGCTGGGCTCTCTGGATGTGTCTAATTTAAGCCTCAAGCACCATCCCCAGGTAGCCCCATTTACAGGTGAGGAGACAGGCTCAGTGATATGACAAAGGGGCATTCAAAGCATTAGACGCTGGATCCTAAAATCTTGAGATGCAGGTATCAGTCTACTTTTTTCCACAAGGCCACTTTTTTTCTTTTTACTTTTTTTGTAGCACTAGAATTTGAACTCAGGGCCTTGTGCTTGCTAGGTAGGCACTCTACCACTTCAGCCACACCCCAACCCTTTTTTGTCTTGGTTATTTTTGAGATAGGATTTTGTATTTATGCCTGAGCCTGCTGGATCATGATTCTCCTGTTCATGCTTTCTGACAGGCACTCTCCACTGTGCCCAGCTTTTTATTGGTTGAGATGGGGATCTCATTAAATTTTTGCCCAGGCTGGCTTCAAACCTCTGTCCTCTCAATCTGTACCTCCTGTTTAGCTGGTATTACAGGAGTGTGCTTGGCTTTTAATTAGTTTTTCTTTTTTTTTGCAGTAATGGGGGATGAAGTTAAGGCTTTGCTCTTGCTAGTACTTGAGCCACACTGCCAGCCCTTTTTATCTTTTTTTTGAGACAAGGTCTGCAGGCTGGTCTTGAACTCAAGATCCTCCTGCCTCAGCCTCCTGAGTGCTGGGATTATAGGTGTGTACCACCATGCCCAGCTTTATAAGGCCACTCAGAGCAGAGGCTGCATGCCAGGCTGGGTCTTCCTGACTCCATGGGAATGGTTAGGATGGGCGCACTGGAGCCTTGGAAGCAGAATCTTGAAGTCGGAGCCTTTTTTCTTCGTTTGGCTATACTGACATTTGAACTCGGGGCTTTGTGCTTGGTAGGCAGGCACACACAGCTTGAGCCGCACCTCCAGCCCTGAGGTTGGAGCCTTTGATAAGTTCTTGAGCAGGAAGGGCTGGGGAGACCCTGGAGGCTTCTAGACTGCTGGGCGTTGCTTGGGCAGTCTAGGGGCGGGGCCTGGGAACCTGCATTTCCGGTACGCTCTGGATGCCTGGCGACCTGTAGGGCTCAACTGTTCCGTCTCCCCGGAGCTGTGTGGGCCCAGCCTGTAACCCACCCTTGCCTGTTACGTCCAGCCACTGGTCTGCCTGCTCACTTGGCCTCATGGCATTTGCTGCCACCCTTCACTTTAGCTTCCCTCAGCCCTCTCCCAGAGCCACCTCAAAGCCACTGCCTCAGGGAGGCCTTCCCTCACTGGAGGCCACCCTTAACCACTCATTCCTTTATCCACGGCATCTGGTACCATCTGAACCCCCCTGGTTTCTTGCCTGGTTCTCCCTGCTGGGCTTTAAACCACACAGGGTTCAAGTCACACTGTCCCCATTGTGTCCCCGTTCTAGTATCCTGCATGCTGGGGGCACACGGTCTGTGCCTAATGGTGACAGCCCATGGATTTGGGCCCCTGTGACCTACTAGGCAGTATCCTAGTGCTTTGCGTGCACCAGGTGGCCACAGTCTCATTGCTTTTGAGAGGAGGAAGCTGAGCAGAGAGGACCTGCCTCCCCTGGGGTGCACCCTGACCTGCCCTGGGTCTCAGACCCCAAAGTCCCAGGCTGACACTAGACCTGGCCCCCAGCTTAATTGTCCTGGTTTCCTGCTTTCAACAAAGGCACCAGCCTTTATGAAGAGTGCCTTTACAGAGGTGTAGGGGACACCTTGGTGTGTGTGTGTGTGTGTGTGAAGCAGAGGGTAATGACCCTGGGCAGACCCCGTCCCACCTTCAGCTGCCCATGGGGTCAGCCTGGGACTAGAACGGGAACGCAGGGCTGGGGATGTAGACCAGTGGTGGAGCGCTTGCCTGGGTTCCATCTGTAGCGCTGGCGGGGCTGGGGGTGTGGGGTGAGGGTAGGGGGCGGGAGGTGGGAGGTGCAGGGTGGGTGGGAGGGGGGAGACAGGAACCCTATCTTGCTCCGGGGCCCCTTGAACTCCACTCCCCCCACCCCCAGTCCGGGCTTGCGTCCCCCTGGCACTCACTTGTAAGCCACGTCGCACCAGTCCTTTGTGCGCACGTGATAGTGCTGCACGTTCCGGGCCTGCTGCTGGCACGAGGAGGGGCTGTCGCAGGTGCTGCCCGCGGTGTGCGATATCACCACATACTGCAGGGGGTGTTGCAGGCGCTCGGCGCACTTGGACGCCAGGGCCCCCCACTCATTGCGGGGCACGATGAAGCTGCAGCAGGCTCCGAGCCCAAGGAGGGCGAGCAGGGTGCAGGCGATCAACGCAGCGCGGGGGCCGGTCATGGTAGGCAGGGCGCGCAGAGTTGGCTACGATCCCGCTCCGGGCTGGGCCGCCTTTATCTGCTGGGGCCAGGTGGCAGGGAAGGGCTTGCTTCACCTCCCGCTCGGACTTCCTGGGCCGGTCACACGGGACCCCAGATCCAGCTTCCTCCTCGGCGGGGCCGCAACCGAGGGCGGTGTGGTCACCGCTAGGGTCTGGGTCAGCTGGGGAGGTGAAGCCGGCTCAGCAAGAGGGCGCCCCAGCGCTGGGGCGCGTCGCCCTGCATTTTCTGGAAGGCCCAGGGCCTGGATCACTGCCCCGCTTTGTGTCACCTGTCAGAGGGACATTGGGTAACCTACCAGGAACTTGCAGGGGGTGGTGTTGGAGATTGACACATTTCCTCCTTCCTGCAGGGGCTAAGGTAACAAAGCTTTCCCCTTTCCCAGGTCTAAGACTGACGGCATTTAACCCTTGCAGCAAACCAAAGAGGCCAGTGTTGGAAAGCCCGAGAGAAATGACAAGTGGTAGAGCCTGGTGTCCAGAGCCCGGGTTCAGAACGAGCCTGTTTCTGGCCTTTCTAGTGTGTGAACCCCCGCTGGTGACAGTCTTTCTGTGCCTCAGTTTTCCCACCTGCAATGTGGGGATGATAGCAGAAGGTTCCCAGCTCATAGGGTGGGCCAGTGTAGGGTGCTTAGGTGACTGGCACATAGCAGCAGGTTCCAGTCTGTGGGACTTGCACTCAGGTCAGCCCTTGGTGGTCTGCAGCTGCTTTGTCTTGGAGCCACTCACAGTTCCATTCTGGAGACAGGAAATTGTGTCCTGGCAACAGTCCCTTGCAGCTCCTCGGAGTCCTGGGACAGGGGACTTTCCTGGGGCTTCTGTCCTCCCCAGTCTATCTTTCCCACACCTTCCTAGACCACATGGGGATTTTAGGGCAGACGGTGGGCTTCCTTTTCTTCTTCCCCTCTAGTGTGTCTTTAAAAAGTTTCAAAAGTAACACATGCTAGCTGTCCCCAGTGGAATTGCTACAGAATGTTAATCCTCTCTCCTGTCTTTGTCCATCCAAAGTCACCAGTGAGAACTGGGTGACAGGTGTTCTAGCTTTCCTCCTGCCATAGCCATGTAAATTATGCTCACACTTCTGCAATCACGAGAGGACACACCAGGAAACTCTAGGCACTTTAGAGAAATTGCCCAGAGTTCACAATGAGCTCCAGTTACAAGTTATTATTATTATTATTATTATTATTATTGCAGTAGTGGGGTTGAATTCTGGGCCTACAGCTTGAGCCACTCCACCAGCCCTTTTTTTGTGATGGGTTTTTTTCGAGATAGGATCTTGTGAACTATTTTCCCTGGCTGGCTTCGAACCCAAATCCTCCTGATCTCTGCCTCCTGAGTAGCTGGGATTACAGGTGTGAGCCACTGGTGCCTGGCCCAAATTCTTCTTAATAGTTGCACAGTATTTCAAGGTACAGGTTTAGCATTGTGGACATGCTGTTTTTTTTTTTTCCTTGAAGACTTTCCAGTTTTTTTCCTCCATGCAGCATAAAATGTTCCCAGACATACATCCCTGCACACTGGAAGATCGGAGCATTTATTCTTTCTTTTTCCTTTTTTTAGGGGGGGCAAGTACTGGGATTTGAACTCAGAGCCTTGTGCTTTCTAGGCAGGTGCTCTAACGCTTGAGCCATGCCCACACCCCTTTTGCTGTAGCTATTTTTCCAGTTTATGCCCTGGCCGGTCTGGACTCTGATCCTCCTATTTATGCCTCTCACATACCTGGGGTGAAAGGTGTGCACCACCATACCTGGATTTTGGTTGAGATGGCGGTCTCAAGAACTTTTTGTGTGGGTTGGCATTGAAACTCAATCCTCCCAACCTCTGCATAGTGAGTAGCTAGGATTATAGGCCTGGCTCTTTTTTTTTTTAATGCCTATGCTGACCTTGAACTCTCCGTCCTGCTGGGATTACAGGGAATACAGGTGTACACCACCACAACTGGTCACTGGAGCATTTAAAAGTACATTGTGTTAAAAAGTATACATATTTAATAAATATTTCTATGCTGTTTTTCCCTAAAGGCTGTTAACAATTTATATTTCCGTTAACAATGTGTTGAAGCCGCCTCATTCCCAGATGTGGCTGTTGTCACTTCTTAAATTTGTGGGTATAAAGTGATGTCTCCTGTAATCCCAGATACTCAGGAGGACCGAGGTTCAAGATCAGACTAGACAAAAAACTAGTGAGGCTCCCATCTTAATAGACAAGTCAGGTGTGGTGGCTGTAATCCCAGCTACCTGAGAGGCATGGGTGGGGAGGATGGCTGTTAGAGCCTGGCCTGAGCAAAAATCAAGGAACTATCTGAAAAATAACATAAAATAAAGAAGGCTGGAGGTGGGGCTCAAGTGGTAGAGCACCTTGCCTAGCAAGTGCAGGGTTCTGAGTTCAAACCCCAGTACTTTCAAAATGACCTCCCAAACCCTCCAGATCTCAAAACAAAACAAGTGCTGTCTCCATGTAACTTTAGAGATTTGCTTTCTTTGTTTTTTTAAATGTCAAGTTTATAACCCTTTTTCTATTTAAAAAGATAACATTTTGTGTTTTACTTTTAGACAGTTACCTCACCTTGAATTCACAATTGCATATGGTGTAAGGTAGGGGTTTCCCTTTGTTTCCAGTTGACTAGCCATTAGCTCCAGTGCCATTTATTACATAGTGAGACCTGGTTTTACATTTCAGTCCTTCCACCCCATGGCAGGATGACCTCGGGTAACTGGGCAGGCTTTGACACACTTGACTGCTTCTTTTTTCTTGAAATGATCACTCTTAATTTCCCTAACCTGACACTAACTTGGTTTTCCTTCTGCTTCTCTGGCTGGTCTTTTTGTTCCCTTTCTTTCAGACTCCTTTTGTCCTCCTGGACTGTCATACTATACTTCTGCCAGCTGAGCTTATTCACATCAAAATGCAGCTCCCACCAAAATACAGCTGATTCCCAGATTTCTATGTCTAGCCCGGAGCTCTCTGCTGAGTTTTGAGTCTGTATCTCCACCTGCCTACTTAACACCCCACTTGGTCGTCCTGTAAGCACCTCCTGGTTTTCTCCTTCAAGTCAGCCGTCTTTCAGGAGTCCCTGTCCAAGGCGATGGTACCTGCATCTACCTGTTACAAAGGCCGTAAATTGGAGCACCTTCCTTGACAAACCTGTTCTCCCTCTCTCCTTAGGCTCAATGCCGGGAGCAATGTCCAGCACCCATGCCCGTACTACTGGACAACTGAATGAGTGTGCAACCCACCCCACTTGTTATGCTGCTGTTGCCACTGCTCCACCCCGGCCCAGTCTCCAGGATTCCCACCTGGATTTTGCTCCCTGCTCCTTAGTGATCTCCCAGCATGCACTCTGGCCCTGTTGGGCCAAAGTCACATATTCCCTCCCTCCTTCCCTCTCCCCCTCCTCTCTCTCTCTGTCTCCCCAGTACTTAGGTTTGATTGAGGCCTTTGTGCTAGCTAGGTAAGCACTCTACTGCTTGAGCTACACCTCCAGTCCATTTTGCTCTGCTTGTTTTGGAGATGGGGTCCTAAGAACTGTTTGCCCCGGCTGGCCTCAACTGTGATCCTCCCAATCTCAGCTTCCCAAGTAGCTAGGATTATAGGCGTGAGCCACTTGGTGCCCAGCTTGCTCTGGTTATTGTTGAGATAGCATCTTGCTTTTTGCCTGGTCTACCATCCTTCTGTTTTATACTTCCTGTCATAGCTTGGGATGATGACAGGTGTGTACCACCACACCCAGCTAGCTGAGGGTTGACCTGGGGTCTCCCAAACATGTCGCTGGGCTGGCCTTGAACTGTGATCCTCCTGATCTCAGCCTCCCGAGTAGCTAGGTTTATAGATGTGAGCCACTGTACCCAGCTGAGTCACATTCGCTCAAGGAATCTCATAACCCTTAGATTGAACTGCAAGCTCCTCACCCCAGGTGACAGCATGGACCACGCTTCTCCCAGCCATGTCTGAGCTGCCCAGTCACGCTAACCTTCTTGCCCTTGAACTCTGTACAAGTTGCACACAGAGGAAGCTTGCGAGGCCAGAACTTTTTGTGCCTTACCCTTAAGATTACAAAACACCGAGCTAGCGTTTTGTAAAAACACAGGAATATTTGCACATCAGATTCCTCACAAGTATGAGCTAATACACATGTGAGCTAGGTGAGATGAAGATTTCTCTTGCTAGAGTTTTATTTCCTTCATGTCTTTTCAGCCTAAAAGGAGAAACTGCCTTGTGGGCATTTATTTCAGCATCAGTGGATAATTGTTGTATTGCTTTAATTCTGAGACTATATTACTTGTATATATATTTTTTTGTTCTTGAGAAGTTCTCTCTATGTAGCCTTCCCAAGTACTGGGATTACAGGCATGTACCACCATACTGGCTCTACTTGGGTATATATATATATTTTTTTGGTAGGAGGAAAATTAAACTTTCTCCATATATGTTTTAGAAAATCGAATTTTAAAATGTTGAACTTGGGATTGACAGAGTGGCTTAAGTGATAGAGTGTCTGCCTAGCAAGTGTAAAGCCTTGAGTTTAAACTCCAGTACTGCAAAACCAAAAAACAACCCAAAAAGCGGAGTAAAATACTTAACTCATCAGCTGCCTTTTTTTAATGTATTATAATTAATTCAGTGATTGTGAAAACTCGGATTCTCTGGCAGTTAGCAAACCCATTTGTTTTTTGTTGTGCCCACAGTGATATAAGTAGCGCTGCGTGTGGTGGTGCACACCACTATCAGCACTTGGGAAGCTGATACGGGAGGATCATGACTTTGAGGCCAGCCTGGGCTACACAGCAAGTTCAAGGCCAATCTGACCAACATAGTGAGACCCTGTCTCAACAAAACCCAAAACAAACAAAAAAACAAAACAAATACAAACAGGTGAAAAAAGAACAGCAGTACTTTTTTTTTTGGTGGCACTGGGGTTTGAACTCAGGGCCTCACACTTGCTAGGCAGGCGCTCTACCACTTGAGTCACTCTGCCAACCCTTTTTTGTGATGGTTTTTTTTGGTATAGGATCTCCTGAACTATTTGCCTGGGCTGGTTTTGAATGATCTTCCTGATCTCTGCTTCCTGAGTAGCGAGGATTATAGGTGTGAGCCACTGGCACCTGACCAGTATGTGTTTTAATCAGAAGCATCAAATGTTAATATAATGACAATAACCTTCCAACTGCAAATAAGGGAACAGTCTCATGAGGGGACTTAGGTGAAATTGCTCCATAAAATATAGTACAGACACTTGGTCACTGAAATGATTT